CACCTATCACAATGGTGCCTCAATTCCCTCCGAGTCTTGGGCAATAGTAACACAGGTTTAGTCTTACTGTGCACCATGGGAATAAATGGACAGGTTGGTAGCTGGGTGCTCAAGCAGATTAGTAGCCTATCCTTAAAACCAGATAACAAAAGGGCTTAATTTAGGAGAAAGGAAGGGAGCAACAGAGTGGTATGCAAGTAGGGTCAAGCTGTAAATAAAGTCAGAAAGAAGGGGTGGAAAAGCTGTTGTTAGGAATGGTGTATGATCAGATCAATAGTCAGGGTGATAACAGAGGAGGCAACACTCATATGAGATAAAAAAATGAAAAGTCAGTGGGACTTGTGCTCCAAAATCGCAAAGGTGGTTTTGTAACCTCATGGGCTGTATGGGCAGCAACCTACCATTTCAGGTGAGAGCGCCAGCAAATAGGAGTGAAGGGATGTATTTAGGATTTGATTCTGAGTAAGGAAGAAATAGTTAAAAATTTGAAAGCCAAGGACATTTGTGATTCAGGTTATTAATAAAGGAACACCAACTTTCCTCTCAACTCTGTCAGTTCTGCTGCAGCCAAGACCAGCAGTTGGCGAAAGTAGTTACTAGCTGAGGGATGCTGCTGGCCTATGAGAAGCATAGGCTCAGACATCAGTTCAAACATAGAAAATTGGGGTTGGAAGGGACCTCAGGAGGTCATCTAGTCCAACCTGCTGCTCAAAGCAGGACCAGCCCCAACTAGATCATCACAGCCAGAGCTTTGTTGAGCTGGGTCTTAAAAACCTCCAAGGATGGAGATTCCATCACCTCTCTTGGTAACCTGTTCCAGTGCTTCATAACCCTCCTAGTGAGAAAGTTTTTCCTAATGGCCAATCTAAACTTCCCTTGCTGCAACTTGAGACCATTGCTTCTTGTTCTGTCATCTACCACCACTGAGAACAGTCCAGCTCCATCCTCTTTGGAACCACCATTCAGGTCACTGAAGACTGCTATCAAATCCCCGCTCAGTCTTTTCTTCTGGAAATAAGATCAGTTCCCTCAGCCTCTCTTCAAGACATGTGCCCCAGGTCCTGAACCATTTTTGTTGCCCTCTGCTGGCTGGACTCTCTCCAACATGTCTACATCCTTTCTGTAGTGGGGGGCCCAAAACTGGACACAGTATTCCAGATGAGCCCTCTTCAGTGCTGAATAGAGTGGAATAAGTACTTCCCTCGATCTGCTGGCAATGTTCCTCCTAATGCAACCCAGTATGCTGATAGCCTTCTTGGCAAGAAGGGCACACAGTTGACTCATATCTAACTTATTATCCACTGTAATTCTGGGTTCTTTTCCCCAGAGCTGCTGCTTAGCCAGTTGGTCCCAAGCCTGTAGCAGTGCATGGGATTCTGCCATCCTAAGTGCAGGACTTTGCACTTGTCCTTGATGAACCTCAAGATATTTCTTTTGGCCTAACCCTCCAATTTGTCTTGGTTACTCTGAATCCTAGCCCTACCCTCCAGTGTATCCACTACTCCCCTCAGCTTGGTGTCATCCAGGAACTTGCTTAGGGTGCAATCTATCCCATCTTTCAGATCATTAATGAAGATATTGAACAAAACTAACTCCAGGACCAATCCCGGGGGCACTCCACTTGAGACTGGCTGCCAATTAGACATTGAGTCATTGAACACTACCTGTTGAGCCTGACGATCCAGCCAGATTTCTATCTGGCTTACAGTCCATTCTTTAAACCCATGCTTGCTTTCAAGAATGCTGTGGGAAACCATATCAAAAGCCTTGCTAAAGTCAAGGTATATCACATCTACTGCTTTCCCCACATCCACAGATCCAGTTATCTCATTCTAGAAGGCAATCCACTTGTTCCGGCAGGACTTCCCCAGGGTGAAGCTATGCTGACTGTTCCTAATCATCTTCTTTTCCTCCAAGTGCTTAGAAATGGATTCCTTGAGGACCTGGTCCATGATTTTTCTGGGGACTGAGGTGAGACTGACTGGTCTAATTCCTTTGATCCTCCTTCTTCCTTAAAACTGTACACTATATTTGCCCTTTTCCAATCATCTGTGACCTTGTCCAAACACTATGAGTTTTCAAAGATAATGGCCAGTAGCTCTCCAATTGCATCAGTCAACTCCCTCAGCACTCTGAGATGCATTGCATCTGGCTCTATGGACTTGTATATATACAGCTTTTTAAAATAGTCCCTAACCTGCTGTTGCACCACTGAGGGCTGCTCACCTTGTACCAAAACTGTGCTGCCAGTGCAATAGTCTAGGAGCTGACAATTGCTTCCTTATGAATGGAAAGGGCATGGAGGCTGGTCTACCCTTGATTAATCCTAGTCCAGCAATGACATACACTGAAAATTTTGTATATGAGCCTATACAACTACAGATTCCTGTGTTATCTTGTATGCCTGAAGCCTCATGGTGCAATATGCTTAGAGCAGTTTAACTTGAAATATAGATGTCTTAGAATTGCACACTGTGTTCCAGCTGTATCGAGAGCAGAATGCACAGGGATACTGTGATGCTGCTATCCTTACCTGTATGTTCTAACAGCACTAAGTTACAAAAGCTAGCTCTAACTCAGCTCAGACACCAAGTGACAGGCAGTCCAGAAATGCACAAATGGATAGATGAACAAGGGTGAAGGCAAGGCAAAGTCACAGCTTACAATTCTTCTAATGATGTAGCTCCTGCACAAAGGTTAATGTGTTTTCTCCCTTTCTTTGTTAATATTGCAAATATGTTTGTATTTTTAATGAAATCACATACCCTCTCCAGTAGGTTACTATGCATGCAGAGATCAAAAAATTATGTTGCATGGCAAAACATGTTGCATTTAACAGGATAAAGGGACACTACCAAGGCACAATTCAGCCTTCATGTGCATAGTACATTGCAAGGTAAGCAAGAACTAGTTCCAAATTAATCCCAATTGCAGGGTCCAGGTTGAAGGAAGCAGCACTGAAAGAAACAACTCAACTACCTTTCTTGCTTCTCTTTTTGCCTGTTCCTTGTTATCATTATTCTGCTTTCTTATAAGGGCTGGAGTAGAAGAGCTATTAAGCTTGCCAGCCTTTTCTGCTTTGTTGCTTCTTATCTGCTCTCCATCCCCATTATGAAACAGTACAACTATATTTTTTCTTTGTCATATCCTTACTTCTCACATGCTTTATAAATGTAAATGCAGGCTTTGAGGGAACAACAGACTTAGGAGCTAATAAGGTGGGGGGCGATAATACAAAATGGGGAGAAAGAGCAGGGACTCATGGAGATGGAACAATATGGGAATAGGATATATTAAAGCTAAGTGGGACCTGGACCAGGACATCTTTTCACTTCCTCACCCACCTCATCCTTCCCAGGTCAGTAGCTTGCTCCCTTCTCTCCCGTCTCATTACTTTTCTCTTTGTTCTGGTTTGTGCTACATGGGCCTCAGGCATGCTGCTGCCTGTTTTCACTCCTTTCTCCCTCACAGGACTACTGTCAGGTTTTGGCATCTCAAAGTGATCAGCTTTCTCCTGAGCTAGGACCAGTCTTTTACTGATAGGCAGTCAGCAGTCAGACAAGGACATTATGCTCCCTGCATCTTTCTATCTGCCTGTTTCCATGCTATCCTACAAACCACCTACTATGGTTCCAGCATATATCGGCATTGCATGTTACTGTAGTATTTCTCTATTGCTTGGCAGCTCAATTGGGAGTAGGTTTCCATTATGTTAAGGCTGTACATGTCCTTGTCTCCCACCCTTCTAGCCTCTTACCTTACAATGTAAGGGTACTGAAAGGGTAGGAAGGAGGGAGACATCTTTCCTATGCATTTGTTTGCCTTTAAATGATGTTTTTAGTTTTGTAATTAAGTAAGTCTTTGCTTCTTAACTGTGCCATTGAAGACAGGCTGATTTCTCTCAAATCATGACAGAAGTGGGACTGAAAGCATCTTTTAGAATTCTAGGAAAGGAGAGCTAAAATGATCTCACTGTTATCTAGTTCGACCCTCTGCTCAAGTCAGAATCATCCCTGACTAAACCATCCAAGCCAAGTGTTTACCAAGCTGAAATGCCCTGGATCTCCTTTCTTAAAGATGGGTACTATATTTTTCCTTTTCCAATCATCTGGGACCTCAACTGACTTCAATGAATTCTCAGAGGATAGCCAATAGTTCTGAACATACCTCAGCCAATTCCTTCAGTACCATAGGATGCATTTCATCTGGGCCTACCAACTTGAAAGCATTTACCCCTAACCTGTTCTTCTATTACTCTAGGCTGTTTGTCTCCTTCCCTATCTTAGCTGTCAACTGCACTCAGCAGCTGGTAGCTGTCCCTAGGTAAAGACTGAAATGAAAAAGGTATTAAGTACTTCAGCCTTTGCTGCATCATTTGTAACTAGATTGCCTTCTGCATTATATAAAGACAGTGCCTGAGACCGCCTGGTTTTTGATCCAAAACTACTTATTCAAGGTATGCTTACTAACTCCTTTCCTGGGAAATAGGCCACAAAGAAATGGGATGTGGAAAGAAAAAATAAAGCAGAATGAAAGGAAGAGTTGAGACAACAGTGCGAGAGGAATGTTTACTAGTGCAGTGTCTGCTCTAGTGGAAATAAAAGTGTCAAGATGAAATCAACTTTACTCCCAGTAAATCTATAAGCCGCTGAAGGGAAGATAGAAGATCACAGTTTTTCCCCAGATAGACACTAAAGGAAGATGTGGTGGGAAGGAGAGAGAACCCTTATTAGGCTTATGCAAAACTAACTTTAATAAATTTGGGCAGTTACCAAGGCAGTTTATTCTCCAGGACTTCCTCTCTCTAACTGTCATAATATATAGGACGGAGAATCAATAGCCAAGCTGTTTATATGTGTGAGATCGCTGCAGGAAGAATAAACTTGATAAACCGCAAAATGTTTGCATAGCAGGGGATATTGCTTCCCCTTCCTCTTCTTCACTGTTTGTAATCAGCCCTCCTTACGCTTTAACTAAAATTAAAGATGCTGGGCACTTACCGTCCTGAAGAAGCTTGTTTAAGTGAACTGGCACTTTCAAACATTTGGGCTCTTGCAGCCACTCTGAAAATGAAGTTAAGCAGCAAGTTAAACTTGTCCTTTTAATTAAATGTACAGCATGATTTCAATTTTGGCCTAAACAGTTGCACAAGCCAGGAAGGGTTATTTTATTTTATGAACTGTTTACTTGATTTTTAAACAGATGCAGTTCTTTTTATCCACAAGCAAAGTGTTAGGAAAAAGTAAGTCCCATGTTGAATCTTGGCCACATTTCATCCAGTCTTAAAAACATGCCAAACTTTAAGCAAATGGGTAGTTTTCACTGACTTCCAATTGGGGCACCTGCTGAAGGGCCTTGCCAAATCAATACACCTGTAAATAGTGGCTAAAAACAACACAAACAAGACACACTCCTATAATTCATACTGATGGTCTGTCACTAAATATATCTGAAATGAGCAACATTTGGGGTCTAATAAAGGGGGAAAGGGCATCAACATTTCTGGGGTTTACTCTCAGTTCTGTCACTGACATGCTGGGATGTTGGGCTAATCAGCCAGCCTGTGTATGCTTGGCTTATCAACCCGTGAAAAAACATAATGATACCTTTTCCAATTTAACAGTGTGTGGTAAGTCTGAATTGGAGTGTGCACAATGTTTTTGTAGGTCTTTGTGATACCCAGCGTGACTTCTGAAAGTCAAGTCATAAGTAAATATCAATTTATATTTTGTAATGTATTTAATCACAAGAAAACTAACCCCACTCTGCCAAAACAAAGGATTTAACTGTAATCATGTAAGGCAACAGTATAGAGCAGATTCAGAGAAGGGTGTTTTTATCTCTTACTTTAAGTTCTGATTCAGAACTGCGAGACATGATGAACCACATCACTTTATTTCTTGATAAGCTGCCAGTGTAGTCAATGGCCCTGCTGGCTCTTAAAATAATAAACTACAGAAGAGGCAATGATAAGAATGATTAGAGTGGGCAAATAATAGTCAAACTGTTTACCTCCTCCTTCCAGGCTCCAATGCCCAGTGAAGTACATAGGCCTGTTTTCACTCCTTTCTCCCTCACAGGACTACTGTCAGGTTTTGGCATCTCAAAGTGATCAGCTTTCTCCTGAGCTAGGACCAGTCTTTTACTGATAGGCAGTCAGCAGTCAGACAAGGACATTATGCTCCCTGCATCTTTCTATCTGCCTGTTTCCATGCTATCCTACAAACCACCTACTATGGTTCCAGCATATATCGGCATTGCATGTTACTGTAGTATTTCTCTATTGCTTGGCAGCTCAATTGGGAGTAGGTTTCCATTATGTTAAGGCTGTACATGTCCTTGTCTCCCACCCTTCTAGCCTCTTACCTTACAATGTAAGGGTACTGAAAGGGTAGGAAGGAGGGAGACATCTTTCCTATGCATTTGTTTGCCTTTAAATGATGTTTTTAGTTTTGTAATTAAGTAAGTCTTTGCTTCTTAACTGTGCCATTGAAGACAGGCTGATTTCTCTCAAATCATGACAGAAGTGGGACTGAAAGCATCTTTTAGAATTCTAGGAAAGGAGAGCTAAAATGATCTCACTGTTATCTAGTTCGACCCTCTGCTCAAGTCAGAATCATCCCTGACTAAACCATCCCAGCCAAGTGTTTACCAAGCTGAAATGCCCTGGATCTCCTTTCTTAAAGATGGGTACTATATTTTTCCTTTTCCAATCATCTGGGACCTCAACTGACTTCAATGAATTCTCAGAGGATAGCCAATAGTTCTGAACATACCTCAGCCAATTCCTTCAGTACCATAGGATGCATTTCATCTGGGCCTACCAACTTGAAAGCATTTACCCCTAACCTGTTCTTCTATTACTCTAGGCTGTTTGTCTCCTTCCCTATCTTAGCTGTCAACTGCACTCAGCAGCTGGTAGCTGTCCCTAGGTAAAGACTGAAATGAAAAAGGTATTAAGTACTTCAGCCTTTGCTGCATCATTTGTAACTAGATTGCCTTCTGCATTATATAAAGACAGTGCCTGAGACCGCCTGGTTTTTGATCCAAAACTACTTATTCAAGGTATGCTTACTAACTCCTTTCCTGGGAAATAGGCCACAAAGAAATGGGATGTGGAAAGAAAAAATAAAGCAGAATGAAAGGAAGAGTTGAGACAACAGTGCGAGAGGAATGTTTACTAGTGCAGTGTCTGCTCTAGTGGAAATAAAAGTGTCAAGATGAAATCAACTTTACTCCCAGTAAATCTATAAGCCGCTGAAGGGAAGATAGAAGATCACAGTTTTTCCCCAGATAGACACTAAAGGAAGATGTGGTGGGAAGGAGAGAGAACCCTTATTAGGCTTATGCAAAACTAACTTTAATAAATTTGGGCAGTTACCAAGGCAGTTTATTCTCCAGGACTTCCTCTCTCTAACTGTCATAATATATAGGACGGAGAATCAATAGCCAAGCTGTTTATATGTGTGAGATCGCTGCAGGAAGAATAAACTTGATAAACCGCAAAATGTTTGCATAGCAGGGGATATTGCTTCCCCTTCCTCTTCTTCACTGTTTGTAATCAGCCCTCCTTACGCTTTAACTAAAATTAAAGATGCTGGGCACTTACCGTCCTGAAGAAGCTTGTTTAAGTGAACTGGCACTTTCAAACATTTGGGCTCTTGCAGCCACTCTGAAAATGAAGTTAAGCAGCAAGTTAAACTTGTCCTTTTAATTAAATGTACAGCATGATTTCAATTTTGGCCTAAACAGTTGCACAAGCCAGGAAGGGTTATTTTATTTTATGAACTGTTTACTTGATTTTTAAACAGATGCAGTTCTTTTTATCCACAAGCAAAGTGTTAGGAAAAAGTAAGTCCCATGTTGAATCTTGGCCACATTTCATCCAGTCTTAAAAACATGCCAAACTTTAAGCAAATGGGTAGTTTTCACTGACTTCCAATTGGGGCACCTGCTGAAGGGCCTTGCCAAATCAATACACCTGTAAATAGTGGCTAAAAACAACACAAACAAGACACACTCCTATAATTCATACTGATGGTCTGTCACTAAATATATCTGAAATGAGCAACATTTGGGGTCTAATAAAGGGGGAAAGGGCATCAACATTTCTGGGGTTTACTCTCAGTTCTGTCACTGACATGCTGGGATGTTGGGCTAATCAGCCAGCCTGTGTATGCTTGGCTTATCAACCCGTGAAAAAACATAATGATACCTTTTCCAATTTAACAGTGTGTGGTAAGTCTGAATTGGAGTGTGCACAATGTTTTTGTAGGTCTTTGTGATACCCAGCGTGACTTCTGAAAGTCAAGTCATAAGTAAATATCAATTTATATTTTGTAATGTATTTAATCACAAGAAAACTAACCCCACTCTGCCAAAACAAAGGATTTAACTGTAATCATGTAAGGCAACAGTATAGAGCAGATTCAGAGAAGGGTGTTTTTATCTCTTACTTTAAGTTCTGATTCAGAACTGCGAGACATGATGAACCACATCACTTTATTTCTTGATAAGCTGCCAGTGTAGTCAATGGCCCTGCTGGCTCTTAAAATAATAAACTACAGAAGAGGCAATGATAAGAATGATTAGAGTGGGCAAATAATAGTCAAACTGTTTACCTCCTCCTTCCAGGCTCCAATGCCCAGTGAAGTACATAGGAGTCTTTCCACTTACTTCAATAGGCTTTGAGCCAGATTCCATTTGCCCAGTTTGGGAAGTTTATGAAACTGGATGAATAATTCATGTATGCATAAATATTCAAATAAATGTTCACAGATACTTCATCTATCATTCCAGTTGTACAACACTGTAAAAAATCTATTTCCATAAAATCTGGGTGACTTACACTGATCCTGGCCTCTGATAGCCATTACTTGATGCAGTATCTAGTCTTAATCTCCTACACATTTTTGGTGGCAGCTCAGGGTTAGGTGGAGCTTTTGGTGTATCTTTTGCATCTATTGAGGATAAGCTCTGTACAGATCCACTGAAGCTTTTGTTACCTAAAGAAAATGACCGGAGTGCATAGAACATTAAAGCACATTGAGCTCTTATTAAAACCTGTAAATACAGAACAAAGAAGGATTTTTTGAAGAATAAAATAGGGACAGTATGTACTGAGAGAAAAGACAGTTTATCAAGTAGAAGCATCGTACCACCAGCATAGAAAATAAAGATATTGAAATTTTGAGAAATATTTAAGATTATTATGCTGTGTTGAATGGATTGTGTCTGTTTTAAACACTTATAACAAAAATGTGACAATCAAATGCTACAAAAGGAAACTTTCTTCAGTTTTGAGCATCCATAGATGATTTCTGCATTGTTTAAATTTAAAAGGGTTTGGTAATTAATAATTTCAACTTGTCTAAAATAACATTTGGTTATAATATCTCAATAAAATTAAACACGCTTTTCAAAGCTTGGGTTCTACTTGTAAAAAAAAACATCTCTGGGTGGGAGAGGGTGGTAGGATAAGTATTGTTCCAAACTGTATAGACTCTGTTGATGCTTTTTAAGCTATAAAAAGGTGCAAGAGAGAGGAATCTTAAAAACATCTATCAAAAAACAGTAGAGTATACAGAAACATTTCAAAACATAGTAGTCTTCTGACAACCTACACCCCTGTAGCCTTCTGATGCACTTCTTTTTTTTTCCTGGGTGCACTGCACCAAATATCCTGCTAGAACAACTTCAAGAAACACAGAGGACTTACCTTCAGCTGAAGGAATTGACCTGAGGGAAGAAGCTGCAGATCTTTTCAACCCGGTCAGACCATAAGGTCCCTTTTTGGTCAGATCTATTGGTGGAGACATATTCTCTGGACCAGTGACAGAAGCTACACTTTGGCAGTCTGACTCCACATCTGTTTTTGTTGCATCCTCCTTAGAGGAAGATTCTGGACTTGTGGTCCAAAGACCTGAGCTCTTCTGCCCATTGGAAGAAGGGGGGGATGCAATCCATGGAATTCCTCCCGACTTTTCTCTGGGCTGGGATGATGCAGATTTTGTGGTGCTGTTTTGTTCTGATGAGTGAGAAGAGAGCGACTCTATGCTGCCCATGGGTGTGCTGTCTGGACTGCTGCTGTATGAGTCACCTGGGGAAGAGAAGGGACATGTAGAAAAGAAACACTGGATGTGTGTTAATTTCTAGAGGTGTACATTTTCCCAGGGCCATCAGTAGCCCCTGGAGTTTTGGCCATCACCAAAATCATTAGTCCATGTATTTTTACAGATAGCTTTTCTAAAGACAGAATGGTATTTTGTTAATTTGCATTTCAGTTGGGCAGTTGTTGTATAACCCTTTTACATGGAAGGATGCAGTCAGGTAGTCCTGGGATGGCTTTCACCCCAACTATAGACTACTGTGGCAATGCATGTGACTCGGGAGTTATACCAAAGTCTTCAGGTCTCTATTTCATAGCACCAACTCTTACTACCCTGTTTTAGTTTGAACTTTAAAGACTTTTTATACATTACATCCCTCATAAATTTCCCCATTTGTCATACAGCCCCTGACTCAAATGGCTACAATTGTGCAAGAAACACAAGTGAACTAAACAGATTATGAAGGATTAGGCAGACTGCCAGCTACTTTGCACTTGCAGCTCTTCCATTAGGACCAAATAGGTTTTAGACAATTTCTTTATTTCTGGAGCTGGTGGATCTGAAGGACTTGAGACTTGCTACAGACTGAGACTGCCTAACCTCAAATGACCAGAACTGAAGTTGGGATGAATTTTCACCCTATGCGTAAGAATGGGCAGAAAGGTCAGCATAGAAGAAATATTGCATGCTACAAACATAGTCCTAGGAAACTAAATTTAACCTACGGAATCAGTAAATGGAGACTATTATGTTGTATTACTGCTCGAAAACAGTAAAGCAATACAGTTTTAGCTCTTTTTAGAGGGAGTGGTAATTTTAGCATTGTTCCTCCACATTGATGGCTAGAACATGGTATTTAGTGGTTTGCTTTTGGGAATGGGCTTGTAGATATGCATTAGAGAACTGGTCCAGGGGAATGGCAAGGGTTAATTGATTTCTAAAAGCCTGTTTGTGACAGTTTCCTTCAAGGCCCACTGTGCTTGAAACAGGCAAGCAGCAAGCAGGCACACAGGCTGGGAAATGGAAGACATGCAACACACTGTTCCATAACATGAACAGTATACCCAAACAGAGATAGGGGACTCTGCGGTTAACAGTGCTAAACTGCAGAGCCCATGGGATTTCTGGTTTTGGTAGATGGAGAAACTGGTAAAAGCCCAAATTAGGATGTTTGTGTGTGATGGATTTATGAAACAAAGAAATATACTGTCCAGAATGTGGACAGTATGATGCCCAGAGATGAAGAGTCATCACAGAGGGAAAAAAGGATACAAACGGAGGGATTTCGGAGCAGCAAAGGGTGCCAGAGGCCACCATGGACAGAGGGAATACCACCAGCTTGTCTCACGCATCCCACTGGAGGAGGGAGTGTGGGGGTGGGACTCGGCTTTCAACCTCCAGGCTGCTGACATCTGACATTCAAGAGAGAACCTCTAAAGAACTTGAGACTTGCTACAGACTGAGACTGCGTACCCTTGGATGACCAGAACTGAAGTTGGGATGAATCTCGTGTACTGGCCAGATGTACTGTGACCCTGATGACAGCTCTAGGACTGATAGATATAGAATTGTTTGCATTATTCTTATCTATCTCTGTGTATCAATAAAATGTGCCTATTATCAAATGGGGAGGTTGTGGTTGGTCTGAGGGTTTGGGTCCACCCAGCACAAGATATCTAGGTCATAAATCTAGTGCCAACACAAATGGCCAGGCTGTAAGGTGATTGAGAAAGCTTGTTATCTGTCTTGATCCCCCTCTCATATTACAAATCACAGATATGTTGGTGAGCCTACTCTGGGGTTGTTGATGGTAGCCACTCTTAACAATGCTAGAAACAGAAGTCTTGGCTCACAGGTGATCCCAGAGCAGTTTTTTTGGCGCATTTCCAGGTTTGGAGCATGGAAGAGGAAGCTGGTGGGTAGGGTGTCCTTGAGGCTGCAGTATGCTGCCACAGTGATGTGGATATGCCCATAATTAGAAGGCACTGTTAATCAGGGCATGTTTCAGAAGGAACTGAATGTCCTTGTGGACTGGAGTAATAAAAACAGGATGAAACTGAACAATATAAATGCAAAGACACACATTTTGGGATTGATAAAAAGAATCTTTGCTAAATCCTAAGAGCTCATTATTTGTAGGTGACTGAGTAGAAGGGGAAAGATAAATAAATAAATAAATATAGGTGTATTAGTTTTTCTCAGGATGATTATGACTGAGCTGGTATCATGCAAGTAATAAAAGCAAACCACAATCTCTATGATCTATCAGGTGCAATATTTCCAGTAGAGAAAGGGAAGTACTAATGCTTTCATGAAAGAAGGCATGAACACACACTGGGCTAAGATTCATGGGAGGGAGAACAGCAATTTATGCTAAAGGACAATGTAGACACAAGAACAAATTAGTGTAAACTCTCCATGAAAAAATGTAGCCTGGAAATTCGAAGATGGTTTCAAACCATCTGAAAGACCTCTTCAATCAGAATAATGGGGCAAACCCCCTAATGAATCAGAGATGGAGCTTTATCAATCAATTAACAGGATTCTCTAATGTGCTGTCTTGCAATAGCAGGGGACTAGACTTGATTACTCAAGAGGCCCCTTCCCTATGTCTAACATCAGACAAGTTGTTCTTAAAACTGCATGAAATGAGAATTTATCTACGGATCCTGCTACTCTGCAATTGTGTCAAATGTCCTTAGGTGGTCCTCTGTAACCCAGGTTCTTTGTCTGAAGAGCAAAACTAAGCTCAAATGATTCTACATGAATGAGAATCTCTCTCCAATCTCTCAGTTCTAATCCTCAAAGGGAATTTACAAAACACCTTTCACAGACAACCCTACGGACTTTACTTCATCAACCTACTGAATACAAAAAATCATGGACTAAATATAGATATATATTTAGTCCATGATTTTGGGGACTAAAAAAATCCATACATTGGACTAATAAATACATACACTGGATTTATGACATATTATAACTTGCCTAACATCTGACTCCGAAGGTACCTCTCCACTATTTATATGACCTACATTAATTCCCCGCTCCCCACCAACCTCTCTCTCACCCATTAATCTCTGACTTCTTAATTTACCTTGTCACTGACTGGCTTTCTTGCATGCATACCAGCCTCTGGCTTCTTTACTATTCATTCCATCCAGAAAGAGCACAGACCAACTGCATACGCTTCCTCAGCCTGACGAAGGGTGCTTGTACTTGAAAGATTGCAAAAAAGAATTTTTTCCAACTATGTGAGTTGGTCTAATAAAAGATATCAGATTTACCCAAAGAACCTTGTCTGTCTACATTAATGAACTATTCTAGGTTGTCTTTTCCATTGTGGTGGGACCAGCATATTAGTAACAATTGCAACCTTATTATGATTTATCTGTGTGCCTTGCTGGGTTAATTTTTCTTTCAGGAATGTTTCATGAAATTAATAGGGGTGTAGGTTGTAGCCATGTTGGTCTAAGGACACAAGCAGACAAGGTTCTTTGGGTGAATCTGATATTTTTTATTAGACCAACTTAAAGAGGTGGAAAACAAAATGTAAGCAAGCTTTCAGGTTTAAAAACCCTTTGTCAGGCTGAGGAAGTTTCTGCAGTTGGTGTGTGCTCTTCTTGGATGGAATGAAAAGTAAAGAAGCCAGAGGCTGGGCTGGTATGCATACAAGACAGGCAATCAGTGAAGATGTAAACTGAGGAGTCAGTGGGTGAGAGACAGGCTGGGTGGGGCAGGGAGAGAAGGAGGATGAATAGTGGAGAGATTTATATTTTTATTTATTTAGCTTCACCTCTTTTTAGTACTACTGAAAGACTCTTGCCATGCTTGTCTACTGTTTCCCAACCAAAATGTCATTACATAGCTCTTAATACCTTCATTATATAGCTCTTAATACCTTCATCAAAAATCCATTCTATTTTCTGGCAAAATAACTTGGCTGCTGAACACAACCCAATGGCATTCTGAGGAAACAGTGTCTCCCAGAAGCAGTTTTGAATGCGAACAAATACATGCTCTGATTTTCTAAGGGCACCTGCCAAACTCTGCTGCTGCATCTGGTGCAGATAAATACTTGGCATCAGCCATCCGTCCAACGTTTTCTTCACTTGTAGATAGCAGAAAATGTTCCTTCTTCCTTTACGTTCAGACCCCAAAAGAATTAAATAATAAGTGAAGTACTGCCTCTTTCCCCCCAGCTACCACTACCAGTGAGTACTCCTCTCTCTCAGTTCTTCTGTTCACTCTCTGATTCCCTAGAACATTAATCCTATCCAGCTTTTCTTCTAGCCTCAGTCTTAAAATGGGAGGAAATTTCTGAGAGCATGACTCATGCTGTGCTCTGGCATTTTCACTCCTATTATAATACTCTTTTTGCAGCCTCCCAATTCTTTGAACACATCCCCAGTTTCCTCAGTTATTTTGGTCCCTGACTCTCCAATGAATGTATCATCCCAATGAAAGTTGTCCTAATAATCAGTATTTTCCTTTGATATGATTTAAATAAATCCTTTCCAAGCAGCTATTTACCTATACATTTACTTTGCCACTTAAAATCATATTAAAATAGAGCTGGAAGAGACATCAGCAGATCACTTGGTCCAACCTTCTGCTAAGAACAAGAACAACTCCATCTAAACCATCAAGTGTACACCTTTATAATATTTATAATCTTCAGAGGATGGAGGATTTTACACCCTCTCTGGGTAGTCTGTTCCAATGTTAAACCATGCCCATAATGAAAAAAAATCTTCCTTGTGTTGAACCTAAATTTCCATTTTTGCAATTTAAGACTGTTATTCCTTGTCCTTTTTGTCCCCTGTGGCCACAGAGAAAAGTCTGTATAATTGCCCTTTGAGGAGCCACTTGTGGTATCCAGTGTTATAAAGTACTCTGTGGTACACTTATCTCAATCTCACCTCCACATGATTTAAAATGTACTCTACAAGCTGTAATATAGTAAATGAAATACATGGTTCACTACTTTTGCTCTTAAAATGATCTTTAAGTTTGGAAATGAGATAATACAGCATTTTACTTCACCAATAAAAAGTACACTTGAGTCAAGATTTCAGAACCATTATACGGCTTTTTTGTGCAGATGGAATTAATTGCATGGTCTCTGTCCTGTTCCCAATATGCCATCAAGGCCACTACTACCTGGTCCCAGTCCCACATTCACTGATAGCCCAGTCCTGAGGTGGGGGAAATGGGCAGCCTGCACTAACCTAGGCCTATGGCTCAGTGTCTACCCAGCTCTCCTTACCCCTCTATGGACTGGAGTGGGAGGAGAGAGGAGCTTTACAGGATGCTGAGAAACCCCCTGTAGTGCTAAGATGCACTATACAAACAATACATGCAAAACATAACATTGCAGGGAAGTTCCTGTAATGTTCAAGAACATTCGTACAGGAACACTTGTGCAGTGCTTCCATCATTTTTGCAGTGCTACAGGGAACGTGCACGTTTGTTTCCTTGACTTTTGTAGCACAACAAGGTTGTATGTAGTGCTACAAATGTATTGTCTGCCCACAGCCTAACCCACCTAAATATAGACAAGTCTATTAGTTATACCCACAAAAACACCAGAGATTATCCATCTCCACTGGGGACCTTCAGTGCTGGCCTTCTGTAGCTGTCTCTTTACTGGCACTTCCATTTTCATCTGACTAGATCCCCCCTTTTCATACTTTATGGTAGTCCAGGCACCTTTGCCATGATAGGAACTATTGAGGGCTATTCTGCTTATTAGTTAGCTTAATTCCCTTTTTTCTGGACATTCTGGTACCAGTCCAAATTGCTTGGAAGATATTAATTAGATATGATGACTGTTGAAAGTACAGTTCCTGAGGGAGAAGATCTATTTTTTCTTTTACAACCTGGCCTAACACCAGATTGCCAATACTTAATCTGTTAACTGTCCTCCCCAATCCACCAAACTTCATGGTCTAACCAGCTGAATTCAGAACTTTACTCTTACATTGACTGTGCTGTCACAAAATTTCTAGGAAGCTTCATGTAAGTACTTCAGGAGACCATGCAGTCACAACCTTTTACAATAAATAAGTAGTTAGGCCACAGGCATAGATTTAGCCTGTCTAGCAGCCCTTGCTGGTTTGCTCCCCGATTCTCTTTAAGTTATCATCCAAATCAAGGTCATTTTTTTATTTTTTAGTATTGCCATTATGAGAGAGAGAATTTCTTTTCTACTCAGTGGGCATGTCTACACATGTATTTATGCTGACTTAAATTTACTGCGCAGTAAACTACTATGCAGGAAGTGGGAATAGGCCAACGTCTATATACGCAGGCTTGAAGGCACATGAATGCTGTGTGTGGACTGACTTGGGACTAAAGTTAGTCCCAAGTCAGTCCACACAAACAGTGTTACTGTTCAGTAAGATGTCTACAGCTACATTACTGTGCAGTAATTGATTGGATGTAAATATGATACCTGCTTGATGCAGGTATCAAATTTACGCTCAAGTCAGTATAAGTTGCCATATTTACTGTGCAGTACAGGTGTGCATGTGCAGATGTGTGCTCATACTGTGCAGTAAGTTCAGTTACTGTAAATGTACAAGTGTAGACATGCCCAGTGAAGGCTGAATATATTTACTAAACTGTTAACAGCTCCACACCATGATACTGATTTCAAATTTAGTTTTTATGTCTTGCAGCTTGTCAAGGAGATTTCATAATACTGCCATAAAAAGTGAAAGGTGTAAAGGAATGTGCTAAGAATGTACATTTTTTGCCTACTTGCTTTATAACGCTCAAAGACTGGGAATTCTGGATTACCTGGGGTCAGGAAATGTACTGTTAAGATACTCTGGGACACGGTGTCAGGTGCTTTAATCAGCGAGCTGCGCTAATTAAAAGCACCCAAACATCACAGGTATTAGTGTCCCCACGAGTCCCATGTCAGTGAGCTTTAGTTCAGAGCACCCCACCACCATTTTTTCAGCGCTTTGAACTAAAGCTCACTGCATGTGTTTTATTTCAACCAGCACATCGGAGCAGGCTCCCAGAATGTCTGTAGGAGCCCTCAGTGATTTCTGAGTAAAGCATGGTAGTTGGAGAAAAATATACCACACAAGTATCCCCAGTGGAAGAACAGAGGACTTTATAGCATCACTGGAATTGAAAGTATCCAGAGAACAACTGGTACCAGTTTAATAGTTCTTCACTGTATCTGGAAACAACATGCACCAGCACAAAAGACAGACAGACAAAAGGCAGATATATTGCTGCTAATAGCTGGTTTTGAAACACTTGATGGTTTCAGTATTTTCAGTTAACTGAGGCAGAGGAAACTGACTATAAAACTGTATTACAGAAAATTGAGGAATACTTCAACGCTATGGGGAAATGAAAAATATGAATGATATGATTTTAAATAGACAGTACAGAAAGAAAGTGAAAATATAAAAGAGTTTGAGACTGCTCTAAAGTGAAATAATGAATCTTAAAATTCTTAAGGGATAATAGATGATGATTGGGACCTAGGAATAAATATAAAAAAGACTATAGAAGGACCATAATTAACCCTTGATAAACCCTTAGTTAGATTTTGTCAGGTAAAGAAATGCTTAGTTAGAATTTGTCAAGTTAGAATTTGTCCATACTGATCCTTACTGAAAGTAGAGAGTCCTCTAACACCACTGGCATAATAGCTAATCCAAAATACTACAGTAACAGAGACCAGAGAAAGGGCACAAACTATATTTACATAGGTAGACAAATGGGCAAAGACAGACAAAATAAAAACAGAAGATGGAGCTGAACACACCGTGCATTTGCTACAAATAAGCAGTCAGTATGTTTGAACCAACAATTGCATTGCTTACTAATTACCAACACTGAGACCTAAAGAACAGGGATGGAGAGGTTGTTATCTATAAGAATGGATAAACTTACTATCAGGGTCTGCCAAACATGGGGTATATCTTCCTTTAGGCTTGCGTGTGCCTGTGGAGAGACATATAGCTCTTGACCTTCTGGAACCTGAACGGGACTGAGGCTGGGGAAGAGGAATATTGGGGTCCGGTGCAGTGTGAAATATCTGTATGCCAAAACAAAAAAACATACTAAGAATGAATCATATTTTTCATTTCCCACTTACTGTTGCACCTGTTAAGAATGTTATAAAATACAGAGGCATAACATGTGAATAATGCACCTGGGGCAGACCTCTCTCACTCTTCCTCACAAGGCAGCATGCAGAGCAGTAGAAAGCAGTTGGTGCAAGCAGTGTGTGTCATGAAGTGCAAGGTTTTCTGGGAATTGCAGTTCTGTAGTGTGCTGTGAAGTTTGCTGTTGCTGCTGGGGGAAATTTTCACCCCATTGTTTTGCCTGTGTGGCATGGCAGGAGGCACAATTGTGTGAATCACACATTAGATCCCATTAGCTTCATGTGTGAAAGGCTTAATACACACGCCCAGAAGATAAGGCCTCCATAGTAGCAATAAAGGAGGGAGGGTGATAGAAACCACGTGGACAAGAGATCTTAAAAAATTATGAATGCTGTACAGTAAATAATCATTCTTTCTGTTTCAAGTGATTGTCTGCATGAGTTCCATGTTTTATAGATTCATAGATGCTAGGGTCGGAAGGGACCTCAATAGATCATCGAGTCCGACCCCCTGCATAGGCAGGGAAGAGCGGTGGGGTCCGATGACCCCAGCTAGATGCTTATCTAACCTAAAGTTTGTTGACTTCAAGTAAATTACTAGGAGTCCCACATAAACAATGACTGTATGACAACCCAGAATCTAGAATCTAGATCTGGAAGCCTTTGTCAAGCAGTAGTGTCTTGTGAGGATCAAGGTGAGGGCCAAGCTTGATGAAGACACTTGAAAGGTTTCAGAAGCGAGACTTATTTCTAACACCTCTAGTGGAATGAGTGCTGTTGCGGCAAGGTGGCTCAAACAAAGCTCACCTGTTCTGAAGTAGTTGGAGACTTCCCTAGATAACCTCAGATACGATATTACCTGACCCTCTCTACATAGCCTACAAGCAGTCTAGGTGTTTTTTTTACATTAATATAATGACCTTACTAAACCTTCATAATAAAGTACATGAAGCTTAACTTATCTGTGGTTTAATGGGGCTTGGGATAATTAAGTGGGAGATAAGTACTTGGTTCAGAAGTAACTCTTGTTCAACTTGGAACAGAACCTTGGGAGGATGCCTGAGAGTCATGTGGTTTTTATGGAAATATGAAGTAAAGAGGACCCACCATGAAGACCTGAATCTCTCCTACCCTCTGAACTACAAATAAACCTAGACGCTAGTATCCATGACCAGATGGTCCGTGGTACTAGCTGTATCATTTGCAGGCATGATGCAGGCATGAACTTAACCCCTAAGGCCAGTGTAAAGTATTAAGCATTCCCAGGCCTCTTTTCATACATTGATCAAAACTAGTTCTAACCAATTATTAAAACATTTAAGTGGCATCATCCACATCCTACTTCCTACAACCTTCCCACCAAATGTAGACACCTATTCGGCAGGTGACTCTGATCCTTGTGTTGGTGTTCTGGACTGGTTTTATCAATTTACTCCCTATCTGTTGGTTTTGGAGGCTCCAAATTAATTAGTTACTTTTTCATAACTTTTGTGGAAGCATGTGGTATGCCTAATTTTGTATTCACTGGGGCCTACTTCAGTTCATGCTGTTATCAGAGCCTCTGCGTGATGTGTAAATGCACTAATTGTTATATTAATCCATACTTCAGTGAGACCTAAAGCTATCATGGGTAAGAAGAAAACGAGGGATAGTTGGGTCCACTCACAGTCCTTTGTGTCCTCAGGTGGGGCATGAGACCTCTGTCATGCAGACATGCCCCAAAAGACTAAGCTGGCCAAAATCAATCTGACTTTGGGCACATGGAATCAAGAGAGTAAGCCATGAAATCACTCAAAGAAGGATTTTTTAATCTGAAATACCCCTTAATATAACGCAATAAACTAGATATTGCATGGGGAAGTGAAGGCAAAGACATGTTCTTTCTTCCAACCCAGAGAACTGACTACATTCTCCAGCAAGATTCTGGGCAGCTCCTGTACTCATGTGCAGAACCATGTACAGCAAATCATTTTCTTTTTCAGACTCATCTGATGAGGCAATGAAAAAGAGATCCTGTAGTGTGTTAACTTCACTCATATTGCAAAAATATTTTCAAGTAAAAGATGTCAGATATTGTTCTACCTTTTCATAATGCTCTATAAGAATTTCAACAACAATATTCTGAAACTTAATGTTCATCATAGCAGCCACAGTTTCTTCCTGTGCTCGCATCAGAGTTGGACCAAAAATAACTCCTAGGTTGGAGACTGTCATCAGATTTTGTTGACTGTGTAAAGATACCCTGTAAATAAACACAAAATAAAAGATCATTAAATATTCTGTAAACATCATATCAATCTCCCAAACCAAGAAAGGACAAGATATTTATGTTCCAGTTCAATAACCCATTCAAAAATTAACTTGTCTTTGCAACAAAGGCCCTGAAAGCTCAATGTTCCTCACCCCCAGTTCCTCCCCCCATTATATCAATTGCATAGAGGTGGTTAACCCTGTTTGAAAACAGGCAGAAAGTAGGGTAGACTGACACCTTAGAAATTAACTGGTTCAGAGAGATATGAGCTTTTGTTGGCAGCAACCTACTTTGTCAGAGGCTAGGACTAGACAGAGTCTGATGAAGTAGGCTGCTGCCTATGAAAGCTCATGCTTCTCTGAACCAGGTTGTTTTTAAGATGCCTCCTTGCTCCGCTTTCTGTCTATGAATTGTATATAAATGATTCCCTGAGAAAAAATGATTAAGACAAGAAAATATAGACTATATTTTAGACCATACTGCAAAGTGGACAAAGAGAGCACTTTCTGATGGGGAATAAAACTGGGTCTCAAATTTCTAGAAAACAATTTCTTTTGTTACAACAGTTCTCCAAACTGCTAATGTGACAATACACGTGTATATATTAGGCATGTGCAAAGTTTCGGTCCGCAATTCAATTTGGAGAAGAGTCAGCCTGATTCAGAGGCTGAATCACCAAGTCTGAATTGAATCGGGAGAAGAAAAAAACCCTCTGAATCAATTCGGAGCCTCTGAATTGATTCAGAGGTGGTTTTTCATGGGAACAGAAACTGAGAAGTGGAAGGGGGAGCAGGGGGGGAAAGACTGACATCAGCAGCTGGCCAGTGACTGTGATCTTTCCCTGAGTCCCCTTCCAATCACAGTGCTCTGAGGGACAGATGTAGAAACAGCATATAAGCCTCTGTCTGCAGCGTTTCTGTCCCTTTTGTGAGCTGTTTCTGCCTGAGCAACAGAGTCTGAAAGGTACTGGACTGGCTTGGCTTCCTACCTAGTACGTCTCCTCCTACCTTCTGTTCTTGGAAAGGATTGGATATATCTTACTAACTAGAATCCCTCTACTTATCCCTATCCAATCCATTTCTTTCAATTAATATTTGTTCTTGGTTTTTTTCCACTACACTTCTTAAAAAGAAAGCTGTGTTTTCCCTGGAGTGAAACCCCTGCACCTATCTCCTTGAAACTTGGAAAGGCCTAATGTCCTCAGAAGGGGCTATCATCTCTGCTGTTTTCATCCAAATCTGCCTTAACACAGACATATGACACAAGTTTAGCTTTCAGCCATTTCAGGTATAGTTTCCCAGAAACCCCTGCACCTATCTTCTTGAACCTTTGCATGCTTCATGCCCTCAGAAGGGGCTACCATCCCTGCGATTTTTATCGAACTCAGCCAAAAAATGACAAAGTGATAGGTATTTCAGTGATTCCCTATTATAGTCTATGGCTGAATCTCTGAGTCTCTCCGAATCACTGCCGAATCTTCCAAAGTTGATTCGGCTGAATCAATTTGGAACAGTGATCTGAATCTCTGAATCAAATCACATCCTCCAAATCTGCTGAATCTGAATTGAATAATTCCCTATTTGCACAGGCCTATTATGTGTCCAAGATATTTTATATGGTTCATTCTCTCAGCTCTTCATAGTCTATAATATGAACATGAGCCGGCAGTGCGATGCTGCGGCTAGTAAAGCGACCAAAGCGCTGGCTTGCCTCCATAGATGCTTCTCAAGCAAATCCCGGGACGTCATTCTCCCCTTGTACTCGGCCTTAGTGAGGCCGCAGCTGGAGTACTGCGTCCAGTTTTGGGCTCCACAATTCAAAAAGGATGTGGAGAAGCTTGAGAGAGTCCAGAGAAGAGCCACGCGCATGATCAGAGGTCAGGGAAGCAGAACCTACGATGACAGGCTGAGAGCCCTGGGGCTCTTTAGCCTGAAAAAGCGCAGGCTCAGGGATGATCTGATGGCCACCTACAAGTTTATCGGGGTGACCACCAGTATCTGAGGGAACATTTGTTCACCAGAGCGCCCCAAGGGATGACGACTAGGTCGAATGGTCAAACTACTACAAGACCATTTCAGGCTGGACATAAGGAAGAATATCCTTACTGTCCAAGCCCCCAAGGTCTGGAACAGCCTGCCACCGGAGGTGGTTCAAGCGCCTTCATTGAACACCTTCAAGAACAAGCTGGATGCTCATCTTGCTGGGATCCTATGAACCCAGCTGACTTCCTGCCCTTTGGGCAGGGGACTGGACTCGATGATCTTCCGAGGTCCCTTCCAGCCCTAATGTCTATGAAATCTATATTACATAGTGACTTACAGTATATGAGAGGTAGAGAAGTGCTAGTAACTTCCCATAGTTTTCTTTTCTTAAGTGGGGTTCTGAATTGGTGGGCAAATATTAAAATACCTTCAGTTTGGCCTTCAATTTTACCTACTGAACTCTCTCAGTGCTTATTTTTTGCTACCAACATTTCTCTGCATGTAACTTCTCATATCTGGAGATGCCAGCAGCATTTATAGTCAGCAAATCAGGAAATAATTTGCCGATTTATCTGTGAAGATACATATCTTTTTTATTAAAAACTAGAGGTGTTTAAGTTAGTTAGAAAGTAAGATTCTAAACCAAAGCTCTACAGTGAAGGAGAAGTACTAGGAGATCCAGTTTCTTTTTTTTCTTTCGGAGTTCCTTGTTCAGTGCCACATCTTATGCAAAACTGAGTACTATGAGATGACAAAAGTAAACACATTGGGTGCATCCAGACAAACGCAGCTGCATGGTATGTGGCACTACAAAAACACCTGCAGTGCCACATAATGCACAGTCAAGTATTTTCCACACTGCAAAGGCATACTGCCTGTGCATGTGCTGCTCTGCTTTTTTTTCTGTGGGTTTTCTTGACCCCTGGATATCCCACAGGAAAAAAAAGTGGAGCAGTGCACAAATGGGCAGCGCATACCGCTGAAAAGCAGAGACAGGCTGCCCGGAGCTGGCTGGGGCTGCCAGCCAGGCTCACCACTGCTGCAGCCCCAGGAGCCCCAGGTGAGGATGCTGAGGCCAGCACAGTGCTGGCTCCAGCCTCCCCTATTGCCCCCAGGGTAACTTGCTGAGCGCCAAAGCGTACATGGCACATGCATTCTCCAGGGACAAGTAGCTGCAGCACGAAGTGCACTGCTGCTACTTGTCCCAGGGGAACCAGACATCCACGTTCATCTGAACATGGCCATTCTGCATATCTACAAAGTTACTGAGCATGCAGACATGCAACATGTTTACCTTGGAATGATCTGACTTTAGGATAAAGGTGAAGCACACACACGATAAAAAACTTCATGCTCCATTTTGGAATAAAGTCATGCTTTGGACAACTGCATCAACATAGGTCCTACCACTGGACTAGTTGAGTGTCCACAGCTTTAGCTATTTCATTTCAGGATGGATGTTTGCACAATTCATATACATTATTACTGGCTCCACTGGCACTTAGGTCTGGTCCCACCAGACCAGACCCCCAGGGACCATCCAACGGAGAGACCTGCTCCAGCGATGCCACCACGCAGGCCTTCGCCCAGGGACCCCCGACCGGACATGACGCCCCAACCGGACAGCCCTCCTCCCGGACCCCCGGGGCCACCCAAGGCCCCCAACCCGCCGGGGATCTCAGAGCCGCCCGGAGGAACTGAGACGCTGGGTGCCCTCTGGACCCCGAGCATGCCAGGATCTCCAGGTGCGGAGCCTTCCCCATGGCAGAGAATGCCCACCCTGTGGCAAACCCTCTGGCTGGAGGAGCTCTCCCAGACCACCACCTTCGAGGCCTTCGAGGCCTCGGTGGCCCGGCCAAACCGAGGGAACAACAGACCGGCGACATGACAGGTCCACAGACCGCATCTGCAGAGGCGACCCAGGCACCAGCAATACGACCCAGCAGCAGCCTCCCGGATCCAGAAGCTGTACGGGGCCAACTGTCCCAAGGTGCTGAGAGAGATCCTGGAGGGACCCTCGGCCTTCTGCCAGGTCCCCCGCAAGACTCTTTTCAATTACTTCAGCAGGGTCTTCAACCCCCCAGCAGAAGCCACCGCCCCATGCCCTGCGACCATTGGAGCGCTGACCCCTGTCCCCCCGGCGGAGGGGTTCGAGGAAGCCTTCACGCCGCAGGAAGTGGAAGCCTGCCTGAAGAGGACCAGGGACACCACCCCTGGCAGGGACGGGATCAGGTACAGTCTCCTCAAAAAGCATGACCCAGGCTGCCTTGTTCTTTCTGTTCTTTTCAACAGGTGCAGAGAGTTCCGGTGCACGTCCGCCGTCTGGAAGAGGACCATGACGGTCCTCATCCACAAGAAGGGAAACCTGACCGACCCGGGCAACTGGAGACCCATCGCCCTGTGCTCCACCGTTGCCAAGCTCTACGCCAGCTGCCTGGCGGGCTGCATCACCGACTGGACGGTGACTGGCAAGGCTGTCAGCCGGAGCCAGAAGGGGTTCATGTCGATGGAGGGCTGCTATGAGCACAAGTTCACCCTCCAGATGGCCCTGGACAATGCCCGGAGGACCAGGAAGCAGTGTGTGGTGGCGTGGCTGGACATCTCCAACACCTTCGATTCCGTGCCCCAGTGCCACATCTTCAGCACCCTCCGCGAGCTGGGCCTGCCGGATGGTGTCATCGACCTGGTGTGAGAGCTCTACCACAGCTGCACCACAACCGTCCGTGCCACCAATAGGGAGACCGCGGAGATCCCCATGTGGTCGGGGGTGAGGCAGGGCTGGCCCCTCAGCCCCACTGTCTTCAACCTGGCCATGGAACCGCTTCTTCAAGCCGTGGCAGGAGGCCCCGGCAGGCTCGACCTCTACGGCCAGAAGCTGAGCGT